AGTCCTTGGGCTTCCCACAGGTCAGGGAACCCTGATTGCTCTTCGAGCAGATGAGGGGGGGGGGGGCTTGATCGGGGGAGGGGGAGGGAAATGGGAAGCGGTTGGGGGGACGAGGCAGAAATCCTTAATAAATAAATAAATTTTTAAAAAAAAAATAAAGTTTATTCAAGGGTCTGGGAGGCTCAACAAGGCAGGGATTTGTTTCAGGTGAACTCTGACAAAAAGACTCCATCTAACCACCTCTTGGTAAGGCAATATATGCCAGCCAAAGTTTAAAATAAAAGATTTATACTGTACCCATAATGAGATTAATGATACCAGAGATGGGGACATGCCAGTAGGTCAGTGTTCACTGACATTCAGTTTGTGTCTGAGACATCCTTGTCATTGTTGGTGCTAGGCTTTCAGATACAAGCAATGCTTTTAGTGTTCTACCATTTCAAATCTCCTTCCATCGTGTGACTCGACTCGGACAGTTCTGGGCCATTCCACTAAGATTAGAAATCATCGTTAACAAAGGATTGGCTATGCTACCTCGGAACTGGATGGTGAGACATTCCCTAGGGTCAACCGTTGTGAACGATGTATTTAGTTCATTATATATTTAGAGTATATTGTGTAGACTCTCTACATTTTTACCAGCATTTTCTTCTTGCAGTGTTTACTTTTCGGGAAACAGTCTTTCCGAGCATATCCTTAATGGCCAGCAAAGCTTTGGAATGGATGGGTGGCCTCAGTCATTACGGACTAACTTCCCATTTTAGACTAGGAATTTGTGGGGTCAAACCCCCGAACAAAGAAAGAGATTCTAGCTCACTTAGCAGCCAGAGGAATGCAGTGGCAGCAGAGGGTCCTAACTGTAAATCAAGCCTGTCATCTCCTTGTCAACCGAGAAAGCCTCTACTCACTCGGTGTGAGTCTAAACTGTGTGATTAGGTTTTTTAATTGTTTTCCAAGAGGTTGAAGGAAATTAGACTCATGAAGCATTCATTTTAGCTGAACAGGGAGTGTGACTTTAGGAAAAGAGCAATTAAGATGGTACTATTTACAAACTATTAAGTGATGCGAACATCTGCCACAGTGGGACAGCTTCTCACCAGGGCAGCCAAACTCAGGATTTCTTCGAGGGTGTTTTATGAGGGCCACGCACAGCCCAGAATCGGTGGGGAGTGTGCATGTACATCCCGGGGGCGGGGGTGAGCTGCCTACACAGCCCAGGAACTCAGGTTTTTTCCGTTGCAATGTCTATGATTAAATAAACGGACAGAAACAAGCTTCCTCCCATTTCTCCCCCGCCCCACCACCACCACCAAAAAACAGCTCTGGATTTTTCCCGATGAAGTCTGGGGGAATTTTCTTTTAAAACGACTATACCCAGAGGCAAGAGGAGTCAGTGGCCAGCATGATCTTTTCACCTCTCTGAAAACTTGATCCAGAGCAAAACAGTTGCCTCGAAAGTTAGAGCAGAAGGTTGTTTGGGACAATTTATTGCGATGATTCAAGATTCTTTATCCACTCCACAAAATATTTATTAAGTGCATACTGCGCCTACTGTGGATGCTCTTGGCAGTGACAGCCAGGCAATGGTGATTTCCAAACCAAACTTGATATATATATTCATTCCCAGGCAGCAAAACAACTAAATGGGAAATGAGAGGAACAGGCCTTACTTCTGAGTACCCTGGAACAACCTGGCTCCAGCCCATCTGAATCAGTCGCTGGGGAGAAAAGGACCTGCCCAGCGCTGCAGTAGGGGTCTGAGAGTATCATTATCACACTCTGCATTAGAAAAGAGCCTTAACAATGGACTGTAAAACTCAACCAGGCCTCTTGACTAATGCATCAAACCAGATCATACCAGTTAATAAAAGTGACGAGGCCTCCGTGGCAGAGCGATTCCATTTAGAAAATCTATTGCAAGCACCTACACGGGAAGGATTTAGCAAGCCAGTGTCGTTTGCGAAGACAGCGTGTGGGAACCGTAGACGGTCAAAATTGAGTGGTGGAGGTTTATACAGCGTATGCACACCCACGCACAGGAGACCTCACTGATCCCTTGGAACCTGCTTTATGGCAGCAACATCTGTGTCCCTCCAGACCTAATCCAATGTTCAGTTACTAAACAGATTTGTGCACACTTATTGCATGCCATGCAATAAATTGCCACAGGCTCGTCTGTGTCGGAAAGTTAAAAGAACGACAGTAGTAACTCAGTAGAAAGGATTGAGGACGATGTTGTTTGAGAAGAGACCTTGTATTTCTCATGTGATGTCTGTTGAAGTGTAAATTCTTTTTACTGATACATGTCAGTAGTGACTGAGTGATGTTAATCATATTCCTCTAAACATGACAACCACACAATATAGGCTCAGTTCCACCGAGTCAGTCTGTGGGACTGGACCCGATATGTATACAAATATGAGCATCAGAACTGTATTACATTTGAAGTGGAAAATTGGGACTGATGATGAAGGAGGCCAGGACTGTTGCCAACTGTGTTAGTCCAAGGAGTCTGACTTTATGGGGAAAGCCAGCATGTTGCTGGGCCAAAGATTGGGATGGAGCAGCGACTACAGTAGAAAGGTAACTTCTCCTTAGACTTAGCCCCTGACTTTGGCCAAGTCTCTCCCCACATAGGCTTGTTAAACTCTTTAGAGACTTAGCAATAGCTGTTGCTGGGACAGTCACTTAATTATCATAAATTACTACCTTCTGATTTCAGTCATAAACGTGCATATATAGAACTCTCCCGTTTAACTATCATGCAATCTTGCTTTTGATTGTAAACACACGGTTCCTTCATAACATTAGCAAACAAAGTTCCCAAGTGGCGCCCAAGAAAAAGCCACACGGGCGAACAAAGGAATAAATTGGAATTTGTCATTTTACACAGAGGGACTGATTCATCTTGGAGTGAGTTTCCAGTAACACCCACAGGCTTCTCCCACCTCCAATGTATCCTCCTCTTCTCCATGATTTCAATGTCTCTCAAACTCCAAACCAAGTTACCAGATACAGGAACGGTGGGGCTGAAGATGGATATCGCCACCCCTATTGTAAAGAAGAGGACGCTGAGATGAGAGGCCATCGTCACACAGACCAGACTCACGGGTGCAGAGGCATTTCCAGGAAAGCTTTGAAAAGTTTCTGCTGTTGTTATTTTTCTAGAAAAATATGGCAGATTTAATTAATGGCTAAGCTTGTTTATTCTGTTTATTCTACTTCCCCAATAAAAAATTATTCCTCTTCGCTTCTTGTCGCAGGAAGGAAGGATGCTCTGTGATCCACAAGCAAAATTAAATAAGTAAAAAAAAAAAAGAAGTTATTTTTGTTGCTCATAACTTTCTTCAAACAAAAGCAGGCAGAAAGATTCCAAATACATTTATGTTTTATTTTTTCTTATAAATAGAATACAGTAGGGTGACCATGGTTTAGAGGAATCTTTTACATGCATTATGTGGAAGAAAGAAGTTTGAAAGGTCCAAGCACAAAGACACTGTGTTTAAAAGGAGTCGGGCTAATTACCCCAGTTTGAACATTAGAGGTTGCATAAGATTTGCTTAATTTTTACCTTATACTTCACAAATATGTGCCAATTGAAAAATAAAAATTAAAAATATCATCTCATAAAAATATAAACACAGAAAGGAGTTTACATAATAATGTTTAATCTAGAAAAGCATTAAAATTATGCTAACCATTGTAGCATATCTATATATTTATATATGTATATACATATGTATATACATGTATATGGACAGCCAGTGAAAGTCCTCTAGCAGTGGTTCTCAAGCTTCCTAATGCTACAGGCCTTTAAAACAGTTCCTCATGTTGTGGTGACCCCAACCATAAAATCATTTTGTAGCTACTTCATAACTATCATTTTTCTACTGTTTGAATTGCAATGTAAATAACTGATTTGCAGGAGATCTGATATGTGACCCCTGTGAAAGGGTCAGTTGACCCCCAAAGGGGTCACAGTCCATAGGCTGAGGACCACTATTCTATAGGAATGAGTGGGGCGTTACTTAGTTGAAAACGCATGCCATGTCTTCGCGTCTTCTCTGGTTTATGTTATGTTTTTAGTCTCGTTGTGTGTCTAGTGTCTGACTGGCAATGCTACCGAAGGTAAACATCCTCACTCTGTGTTTTAGGAGAGTGAGAGGGAGCATTTATTTCCCTAAAGAATAAGTGTGTGGGGAAGAAGGTGTAACCTGTACAAGATGGGTGGATGTGTTCGCCTCAGCACAGTTGGACTCCTCCATGATGCCAAGCTGCCACTGTCTTCCTTTCGGAACCACCCATAGGCAGCATTGCAAAGAAACAGGTTCCTTCCTGTGCTCAGGGTAAAGGCAGTAGGTTTTAGAACTCAGCCATAGAACAGGTACCTATAAAAGTGCCTGTAATACAAATACACAAATCTAAAATCAGCTTAAAAGTATTTAGAAAATCATCTAAGTAATGTGACTGAAGTGTCCACGGTCCTTCCCGTCATTGAAAAGAATCAGCCAACAGCCACAGGTGTGCTAATGAGAGAATCATGTAGACCACATCTTTTATTGGCATCTGGGGTCATTTGTAAAGGTGATTTTGACCATGTTCAATTTTTGCCTGGTGAACACAGAACTGAAGTTTTCCTTCTGGCTGTCCCAACCAGCCAGTTTCAAAGTTCTCAGTAGGACTGAGGGGGTATGGGGGAGGTGTACTTTGCCTTGGAATCTTGCTGGGAAGTTTAGGTCTTACCTGGCAGTAGCACCCACCAGCCAACTTTCCATAGTGAGGCTTAGGCTCTAGCATTGATATGACCTTTTTCTTTTAACAGGCACGCAAGAGACCGCACTAGGAACTCAAGTGGGGAGAACCAATGAACTGGGAAACAGGGCCCGTGTTCATGTGTTTATGGCGATAGAAGGCTCCCTGGGATTGTCTTTCTTGTGCATCTGAAGCAGAAGAGGGAGATACTCATGGGTTTCTGTTTTCCTTTAATCCTTCAGATTTATGAGGAATCCAAGATGAACTTGGAGCAGGAGAGGCCGTTTGTCTGCAGTGCCCCGGGCTGCTCCCAGGTGAGTGTGTGGATCCTCTGTACTCTGGCTTGCAGGAAATGCTTCTGCCTTGCCCTGGGATGGCATCTCTCACAAAGCCACCGTGTCCAATGGGCTTTCTTTGTTTCCTGAAATACTTTTTAAAGTGTCCCTAATCATCAACATCATGGTTCTCATCTTCACTACTGTTAGATTACACTTTATAGTTTGAAATACTTCCCTTTCATCCTGAAACACAGCAGTGTTGGCATGGCCATGAGTAACTTCCTCCGGAAGCAAGTCAGACACATCCTGCCCACCATTTCCGCTGGGCAGTCATTCAGAAAGGGGAAGGTGGTGTGTACTTCACAGCCGCCAACTGCATACATACTGGGCGTTTTTGATGGGATGCGTCATAGTTGTGGGTTGAATTCTGGATCCCTTTTGAGGAAAAGAATATCCCTATGACTGTTCTCAAACTCTAGTTCTTGGGCATAGAAGTTTTAAGAGGAGTGGCTATCTTGGCAAGCAGGATTGAGTTTGAGGGTCTCTGATAATTCTCTTCAAATGAAAAGTATGGAATTAGATGAGAGATACTGCCTCCGTGGTGTTTAATATAGAGCATGAACATAGTAAGTGTTCAGTTAATGCTCACTGTTTGTTGTCATAGTGCTGCTGTGGCGGCGGCTAAATCCATTATACTAGACCTCATGACTATTGTGTGAAATTAGAGCTTTGTGTTTCTCTTTTAAAAACTGAGGGTGACTTTTTCTGCTCTTGCCTCAAGAGTCCATCTTTGGGTAGTATTAAGTTCTAGGGATTTTGATATGTAGAAATGGTAATTTTCATACCAAGATCTTTATTTTATGGGATATAGGGCACAGTTCAGAGACTGAGCATAAGTATTTTGCAAATGTAGGAAATGGCACTCACTCCCTAATTTTCCTGCACCTTCAAGGGAGCCAAGGCTCATGCCCACTGGCTCATGGGATAGAGTTGGCAGTCCTGCATGGGGCAGTGACGAATGTCAGGTGGGAATCAGATGAGTGCCCTCCTTATAGTCTCCCAAAGTTTGTGGAGGATTCTAGGAGCATCAAAGGAGGCATTTTGGAGGGACAAAGTCACAGAAACACAGAACTGGTATTATCAGCCGCCAAGCAAACAGTTTGGAGTTTTCAGCAGAGGCTTTGGGGCAGTGTTTCTGTCTAACTTGCGATCAAGAAAACAAGTAGCCAAAGAAACATTTTGGGGCAAACTGGTTTTGAAAGTCATTCTAAAATAGGAAATACTAAGGAATGTGGGTAGGTTGCTATGTAACTGGGAAAATCCTGGTAGACAAGGACTTTCCATGGTAAGCGTAGAATACCTCTTTACGAAGTTAAAACCTGGTCCTAACTAAAACAAAACTCCCCTTTGGTTTCTTCCAGGGGAAGCTTCCTTGGCTAAAGGAACGCAGATTATTGGAGAGGTTTGCTTGCTTAGCCATGATGAAAGTAAACAACATTAAGTGTTGACCACAAGCCACCCAGACGCTCCCTGGGTACCTACCTGTGTGTGTCTAGGCATTCTAGCTGCCCCTTGAAAACTGCACTTGCTCCAAATACAAGAATCTGTTCTCACAGACCTTCTGGGCTGGGCATCAGATCTGGAATCAAATGATAGAGTCATCGATTAACTAGTTGGTCACCATTTTTCATAAAGAAGCAACAGACCAAACCATGAAACTGACTATACTTGAGGTGGGGAGGTAAATGGAAGTCTTCCCTATGGACCGGGAACCTTCTGAGATCCAGCAAAGTATAAGGAGAGGTCAGGTTAAGTTGGGATTCTCGGATATGTCCAGGGTTGGAATGCCAGTAAAGAAGAGCTTCTAGTAATATGTGGGATTCAGTAAGTCAGACAGGAGAGAAATATATACACATAATTATTGACCTGTAAGGCACACACTGTCCCAAACTTGGCACTATTAACATCTAAGGCCAAGTGAGTCTTCGATGTGGGCACTGTTTTATGTTTTGTAGAGAGTTTGGCAGCACCCCTGTCTCAACCCACAAGACCCCATAGCACTCCACAGCTGTAATGACCAAGACATCTTCAGAGGTTGCCAGATGTCCTCTAGGGTCACACTTCCTCCTGGTTGGCAATGCCGGCAGTTCCATTTGGGTTTTCGTTTTGCTCTTTTTGTACCCCTTCTGTTCTGGATCCCCACTTCTAACTGACACTCTCCCATGCTATTTCACACAGTGCTCTAAGCCACCTTACCCTCACTGGAGTCAGGCAGGGTATAAATAAATCAATGCCAGCGGCCTGTAGTCACTGGTGCCCTGCACTGTTGGAGCTGGGATCCTTGGACGACGGAGCAAAGTCTGTTGGATTTGGCAGTTAGTTGCTTTCAGGAGACGTGGGATAAAGCAGAGGGTGGAGGCCTGATTGGAAGGGATTAATGAGTGAGTGGGTGGCAAGGGAGCCCAAGTGATGGCATAGAGGAGCCTTTCAGGTCCAGGAGGCAGTGCCGAAACACAGTGATCTAATGGTGGCCTGTGAGGGAGGCAGCTTTGCTAAGGCTAAAGGACAGCCAGGGTGAATATAGTCAAGAGTGAGAAGCCAACCAGAGGGCAGGAGCGATGCCAAGGAGACAGAGAGTGCAGAGCATCCCGTGGGGCAGTGGGCATCCTCAGTGAGGATGAGCCAAGAGGGGACAGAAAGAGAGTCTGCCAAGTCGCATGCAAAGTTTGATGGCACTGAGTGTGATTGACATTTGGGGTTAAGTTTATTGTGTGTGTGTGTGTGTGTGTGTGTGTGTGTGTGTGTGTGGCACTGGGAATTTGTACCCAGGACCTCACATATCCTAGGCAAGTACTTTATCACAGCCTCATGCCCTGAGTTCTTGAACAGGCCCTGTTTGAATGCCCTTGAATGTCTTGTTGAGGAGGGAGCCATGGTGTTTCTTTAACAAGGCTAAGTGGACTGTGGGAAATGTTGGCTAAATGTGAGAAATTAGGATTTATGTAGGATCTTGATTTTAAGGGGACAGTTTCCAGCTTCCTCCACAGCTTTGGATGCGATGGTGTACCTGTGAGTCTGTGTTGCCTTTGTATGGCAGTGTTTCTCCTATCTTGACAAGCTGTTGTAATACTATGCCCATCTTTTAGCTGAATGAAAACGCCGCCATCAGCCAGTAGTTTCGAGCATCCTCGCCGGTGGAATATTAGTAACTCATAGACAAGTCAACTGCTGTGATCATGATACTTGCCCTCCTGCCGTCCCATAATCTAGGAACCTGCAGAGAAAAGATTAGGGTCCTGCAAGATGGGTAAACAGAATTGTTAGTGTTGTCTTGGGGGAGGCGGCAGAAAGCTCCTCTGCTCCCCTTTCTCTTCTTCAAGAGAAACTTTACTTGGTTGGGGATGGCCTCTGATCCCTAGAAGATCTTTTAACAGATAATCTGAGAACATGATCTTTCTCTCAGAAGGAATAAGGACCAGCTTCCTATGCTCTTTCTATTCTCTTGGAGCCCAGTGTCCCCATTCTCTTATAGTCCAGTGTCCCCACTCTCTTGGAGCCCAGTGTCCCCACTCTCTTGGAGCCCAGTGTCCCCACTCTCTTGGAGCCCAGTGTCCCCACTCTCTTGGAGCCCAGTGTCCCCACTCTCTTTTTATGCCCTATATTGATTGTTGTTCAACTCCCATGTCCATTTTACCGTGCATCTCATTTCTTTATCATTAGCTGTTACTTGTCTCATTCAGAAGGAAACGTTAGTCCATATGCAGTGTTATAGCCGTGAACCTGTAATCCCGACACTCAGGAGGCTAAGCAGGAGGTTTTTGGTTCCTGGCCAGCCTGGGCTATATAGTGAGTCCTTCTCTAAAAAAAGGAATATATGGTTAACTATTTCATTCTGGTTGTTGTGTGGCACTTACTTTAGCATTTAATAGTTTACAGAGTCAAAAAATGACTTTTTATAGACTGGAGAGCTTCTTCAGTGGTCAGGAGCAGGTAATGATGTCACAGAGTACCCAAACTTTGTTCCTAGCGCCCACTTCAGTCAGCACACAGCCACTTAAAATTACAAGAGCATCTGATGCCCTCTTCTGGCATCTGTGTGTACCCATACTCATCTCTCTGTACCCCTGCCACATCCATACTCTACACACATGCAAAACATTATTAAAAACCAACTTACTAAATCTGGAGAGATGGATTGGTAGTCAAGAGCACTGGCTGGTGCTCAGAGGCCTGGGTCAGTTCCTAACAACCATATTGTGGCTCAAATCATCTGTAACTCCAGTTCTACAGGATACAATACCTTTTTCTGGCCTCTGTGGATTTTAGGTTCATCTATGGCACACAGACATACATGCAGGCAAAACAATCAAGCACATAAAATAAAATAATAAGTTTTTAAAACGTCTTACTAACATGAAAGATATTACCATATTGCTTATATTACGTTAATTTCTCTCTCTCATTTTTACCAGTATTTGATATTTGGTGTTAAGAAAATCATGAGAATAAACAATACAGTAGCAGAAATACATGAAGTTATATAAAGTGTATCTCTGTGTAACCCAAAGTTGGATGCAAGTGCCACTCTTTGCAAACTTCAGAATATGATGCAAGCATCAAGTAAATAAGTGATGCTCACACAAAAATCACTTTCAGAACTGTTCATAGGATTCAGCCTAGTGAACTCCCTTGGTCAAACACAAATCCATTCTCCTTGTAGAAAAACCTTCAGCCATGGTGTACAAAAGTAATAAAGATTCATATTGACCATCTTGAGTTCTGCAAGTTTCTTTTTAAGTTATCAAAGATTCAGGAATGTTCATCAGAATGTATTATTTTCCTGTATTTGTATTTGACTTTACCAAATCAAACTTTACTACATAAAAACTTTATTCAGTTAGTTCAATCATTGCAAACATACCCATCTGAGCCAGGCAAGGTTAGAGCCTGCTCAGTAAAGAATTACAGCCAAACCACAATGCTCATTCCTGTTACTGTTGGCTACATTTTTATGGTAGAATGTTTAGGAAACACCTTTTTCTCCTTTAGGACGCAACATAACGCTTGAGAGATTTAGAGTTATTGAGGGGCCACTATATCTGGTGTGAGTCACCTTGCTATCCCGTGAGTAGGGCAAGGGAGATAACAAGGGGATCATACACCAGAGACCAGACACTTGCTCCTGGAAGATAGGCCATTTCCATTCATGATGCAGAGGACAGAGTCATTCATACGGCTCTACTCAACACAGGAGAGCCAGAAATGGCCCCAAATAATTGGAAGCAACATTTTTGGCAACCCTACCACCATTCCCTGAAAATTTCAAATAAACACAGGCTGACTACAGTATTCAGAGTATAGAACACCCCAAATAATTTGTCATGTTGCTATAAGATCATATGTATAATTAAAAGAATTAGATAATATGTGGACTAGGCCTTCATAAACAGAAACATACTGTAAAGATGTCACGGTGTGCAGTAGTAGATAGATTTTAAAAATTAAGCATAACATGGACTTCTTTCCCAAAGTCTGACATAAATCAAAATTCTTTCTATGTCATGCGTTTCTCTTACTTTTGCTTAATCTGTAGATAATGTCTAGCATACTTATCATGCCTTAGACTTAATTTTACACTATTATATAAAGCAGTAACTATTACAGAAGAGTTCCACATGGTTTTGCATAGTCCCAGTGCTACCAAGATCTCCATCCATTTTCTCATTTTGGATGTTATGCTCTCTGCTGCCATTAGGTACCTAGCAGGACTGCAAGAAGCGTTCTTTTCGACACAGTAGTCTTTACTTAAGCGACTTCCTAAGAGAGCCAGGCTCTAGGACTCAGTGTGTCTTTCGGGTGTGTTGCTCCAGTATCTTCAGCAGGGCTCTTCTGCACCTTCTGTTTTACTATTGAGCAAAGGATAAGACAAAGTTCAAAGGCTTTGAACTTGAGAAGTTTTCTTCCCCCACATGGAAACCTCTAGCTGTCAAGAAACACAGGGTTTCTGCAGTTCCCTGATAAGCCAGCCGGGCTTAACAAACAAGTAGAGGACTTTGGGAAAATTCTGGGGAACTGGAGAGTGACTAGAAGCAGAGCCCGCTTATCAGCACCCCCTGCAGCATAGGCAAGCCTTTCGGTAAACAAATGGACATGATAACACATATGTTTTCATATAGCTGGGAGGACCCCCCCCCCCAATACCAGCACATGTGTGTAAATCAGCGTGGAACTGTGAGCTGGATTTGCTTGTGTGATAACACTTTTTTTTCAGAACTGATTTTTTTTTTTTTGTCTTGCCTGTCTTGTTTCCGATGCTGAGTTTCTTTTTCACTGGGTTGTCAACTATGTGTTGCAAACTAAATGTCTCCTGTTCCTCTCTCTATTTCCCCAACAGCGTTTCCCGACAGAGGACCATCTCATGATTCATCGGCACAAGCATGAGATGACTTTGAAGTTTCCTTCAATAAAAACAGACAATATGCTCTCAGGTAAGAAAGCATCGGGCAAGGAAGGTTTGCGGGGTCAGATTAGCTTCACATAAAACCATAAGATGCTCATGTTTTGGTAGCTTGCAGTCCAGTGGCAAATCTGTATTTTGAAAGTATATACGTCTAATCTATAGCAGAAATATGATCAGCTAGAACCATTGATATCCAAATAAATGAACTGCCCCCTCTTTTGGTGTGTGTGTGAGAGAGAGAGAGGGAGAAGAGAAAGAGAGAGAGAGAGGTCTTAGGTAGCCCAGGCTGTCATCAAACTTAATATGTAGCAAGGATGCCCTTGAACTCTTAATCTCTCCATCTTCTTAATGCTAAGGTTATAGGTATGGGTTATAGGTATACAGCTTCTCATTTTTCTATGTGGCACTGAAACTTGGCTCCATGTTACTTTAAAATTACCTTAGCTGCACAGGTAACAAATGTAAACTGAGCCTCTGCCATGTACTGTTCTGAAGATGTGTAAATGGATCCATTTCCTGCCCCATGCCTATCAGAGGAGGCCTGCCTGTGAACACTTGGTTAAAATCAAGGCTCATCAGTGATAGCCATCACATGAATGCTGTAGGGGGCCAGTGCTGTGTGACTGCAGTAGAAGGAGCACAGGAGATGTTCCAAGAAGTTTAATTTCCTTAAGAAATCACACTTGCGCCGGGCAGTGGTGGCACACGCCTTTAATCCCAGCACTCGGGAGGCAGAGGCAGGCGGATCTCTGTGAGTTCGAGACCAGCCTGGTCTACAGAGCTAGTTCCAGGACAGGCTCCAAAACCACAGAGAAACCCTGTCTCGAAAAACAAAAACAAAAAAAAGAAATCACACTTGCCTCTTAACTGGATGATTAGATGAGATCATGCATAACAAATGCCCAGTGAATGGGAGCAGAATAATAAGAATTAGTCCATCAGCTAATTTCCATTTCCTTCCATGTTAAAGGGACATTAGAAAAATAATAATATAGGAGTGAGAAACTTGGAAGCTAGTCTGGGCTCTGCCTTGACTGTATGACCTTGAAGAAATAATTAAACCTTCCTAGGTCTCAGATCCTTTCTCCATCAGGTGTGAATGATCGTATCTCTGCAGAGTATTTCACTAACTGAAGGGCTAGTGGAAGAGGTCAGAGTGTCTCACAGGCCCGAGCAGGGTAGCCAGGTCATTTCCTTCTCACGAGAGCTATTCGACCTGTACCCGTCTCCCTGACATGAAGAAGGAGGTGACACTCCTCTGTCCACATTTTGATAGACCTCAGAAGGGAAACCCACGGCTCATTTTGTTGCGCCCACAGTGTCCAGGGATTGCATTGCCATGGCCACTAAGCCCTATGCCCCTATGCAAATTGACAGTTTATCACCATGAAGGCTACGGGAAACTGGAGCAGCTATCCTGGAATCACCAGAGTTGTGCTGAGGGCCCTCCATCCTTAATGTCTGTGCTGATACAGAATGGGCTACTGCCTTCAACACCAGGCTGTGCCAGGTTGTGTTGATCCATCATAGCCACCAGCCACTAGAGGCCTGTTCTGGTGCCGAGCTCTGCGTTCAAGAGATCAGTTCAAAGTAGATCTCTTGCCTTTTGTTCGTCACTGCCTCTCTCCACTCTCTACTCTTTACCTGCCTTTGTTTTCTTGTTGTGTTTTGAATAAACAAACTACTGTTCAGGGACTGATTCTGCCTTTCGCGAGTTTAAAGAGGTGCAGAACTCGCATGTGAAGGAGACAGAGACGCCTAGAAGGCGGCTGCCTTGGATGCTGCCACTCACCGAAGTCTGTTAAGGTGCACAGGTCTCAACCATGAGCACGAGTGCACACACAGTAATTCCCAATAGTTAAACCAATAGCCTCTCCCTTTATTTTCCCAAACTGGATCCCTAGAATAAGTTGCCTGGTGGAGCAGGAGGAGGGCATATTCAAGAGAAGTGAGCATGTAGACTACGTGGCTGCAATGGCAACCAGCAGCATTGGTGGTGTCTTTCGGGCTGGCTAGCCTGTTCTCATCTGAACAGCTGTAAAACATCAGTCTAAAATATGTGAACACATGAATGATGGGGTGAGGCCCTTTGTCTACACTGCCTAAAAAGGGTTTCTGATTAATCTCCTGCCGTCTGCCCATTGTTTGTCTTGGGCCTTTGTTGGCTTGAGGCTCTTCCTGCCAATCATCAGTAGGCCAGGTGAAAAAGAGTTGAAAGCCTAGAAGCCTAATTTTTACTATTGTGAAATTTGTCATGGAGAAAGGGAGAAAGAGGTGAACACAAAGGAAACAGCATGAGTAAGGCTGTCTTTGATCCCCCTCTTTGTGTTGAAGTCAGTATGGAATGATTTCATACTCCAGCAAAGTGCTCCCTTCAAAACATGTTTCTCACTTTGCGTGCTCATGGTTTCGTGGAGCTTTCTAGGATAGAGAGCTGTCCAGTTTGTGCAGAGAGTTAATGCTGCCTGTGTGTTGCATTCTAGGCCTGTCCACACTGAACTGAAATAGCCTTTCTGTTACATATTTGGACTTTACTGCATTTGTTCCCGAAAGTGACTAAGTTGTATATTTATCAAAAAAATCTAAATTTATATAATTAAGGGTTTAGAATATTTATATGTATTTCTTTATAAATTTGACTGAACTCTTACAGTCTATAGCTTGACTTGTTTCAATTCATTTAAAACTTCCCTTGTTACTACTAAAATTTGTTAGTTAAAATAGTATTTGCCTTAAGTCTGTTTTGTGTCTCATCATGAAGACGATAATATAAATCAAATAGTAAATGAACATCAAGCAAAACTCTCCACGTTCTTCTTGATCCATTTTCAAACAGTATTTAATTGAGCAAAATTGCATTTCAAATGAAATGGGACTTGCCATATCGTATGAAGAGAAAATGTGCTAGGTGTCCATTTGTATGGCTAGCGTTCGGATGTCTGGTTAGTCTCTATTTTGGAGCATTGCTATACCCGTCACTGTTTGCAGCTATCATACTAAAGAAGGTGGTACAGTGTCACAGATGCACACTTCAGGAATAAGCTTCCAGAGATGGGTAGCTAGCACGGAGCTAGAATGCTTGCCTGGGATGTATAAAGCCCTGGCTAGGTTTGCTCCTCCAGTTTCTATCGACGAATATTATCCAGATCGGAAATACTTTGTTTTTCTGTAAGCTGTATTTTATATAGGTTGAGTAGGGTATATTTGAACGGGATATTCAGAACCGATTGTCACTGATCCTTGCCGTGCGCTGGAGAATGAGCGCAGGTGATAGCTATTTAAATGAATCTGCTCTTCTGAATAGATTAGAAGCATCGACTCTCACTCTAAGTGTGTAAATAGGGACAAGAGAGGGGTGGGGGTTCTGGGTTGGATGTACCAAAGGATCCCTAGAGCCTTTCCAGCTATGGTCTCTCATTCTTACCTGCTCTCTATGGTAACTTTCCCGAGGTCACTAATGATGGTCATCACAAGTCTTGGCTTTGATTTGCCCTTGTTCAAATGAAATATAGCTTTATGATGAGGGAAATTGTAATACAGGTGTTTTTTTAAAAGGTTTGCTTTATATGTATGAGTGTTCTTCTTGCATGTGTGTATTCCTAGTGTCCACAGAGGTCAGAAGAGGACATTGGATCTGGAGTTACAGGTGTTTATGAGCCACCATGTGGGTGCCTGGAACTGAACCCTGGTCTCTTGCAGCAGCAATAAGTGCTCTTACCTGCGGAGGCACCTCTCCAGTCTTGAGAAACAGAAGCTGTTAAGTGGACTTTGAGGAGAGAATCTGTAGAACACAATTTTATTTCATATGCAGATAAAAAAATTATTGGCCGTTCCATACACAGACCCATTCAACTGGAAAATCCCAGTGTGATTTCAGCAGAGATGCTGAGGACGGACCATGAAGCTATTTAATTGGGCTATCATTGGGCACTCGGGGATTCTCGTCCTGCCTGCCAAGCAGATCCAGCACACTGTTGTTTTTACAGGGTCCCAAGGTTCTACATATGAAAAATCAAACAGAAACCAGAAAGGGAATCAAAGCACCAAGGTGCAATGTTATTTATAGCCTAAAAAATCGGATAATATTTCAAATGAGAGTTCAGTTGGGGGAAGAACAAAAAGGATCTTTTGGAGAGGACTCCCCCACCGTCTTCCTGTCATAAATCTCAGAGCCTGTAAGTTTGGTCTTTCCTGTGGAGACGGGGGGGGGGGGGGACAGGACTGTCCTCCAAGTCAGGCCTTCATAAGCACACATATGTGTATAATGATAGATTTTGCTCTGTGAAAAAGAAGATAAAATAAGAGAGTGTGATGGGTATTTCCCAAAAGCTTAACCCTACACCCTGGGTGGGAGGCCTGAGAGGGATCCATACAATGTGGTGATTTAAATGTAATTGGCCCTCATTGGCTCATTGGGAGTGGCACTATTAGGAGGTGTGGCCTTGATGGAGGAAGTGTGTCACTATGGGGCAGAGCTTTGAGGTTTCTCATGTTCAAGAGACTCCCAGTGTCTCAGTTCACTTCCTGATGCCTGTAAATCAAGATGGAGAACTCTCAGTCCCTTCTCCAGTACCATGGCTGCCTGCATACCACCATGCTTCCTGGCATGATGATAATGGACTACACCTCTGCAATTGTAAATCAATCCCAATTAAATGCTTTTCTTTGTAAGAGTTGCTGTGGTCATGTTGTCTCTTTACAGCAATAGAAACCCTAACTAAGATACATGGGAACAGGCTTTCAAGTGCCTAACACCCCACAACCAAACACTGTGGCTCAGTTAATGAAGTTAGGACAGACGCAGACAAGGTGTGAAAAGACTTCAACTGGCTGACCACCACCATTTCCTCAACTATTCAACAGCTACTAAGTGCCTATCAAGATCTTGCAATGCCCATGGCGGACATAGGATGCATGGTATTTACTGTATTCAAGTAGTCTGTGGAGGACAATAGGTGATAATCAACTACTAACAATCTACGTCAGTAAGTAAGGAAAGATAGCTTAGTGCCAGGTGCCATGACGCTT